GCTCAGAAGAAAAATAAAGCAAGGAAAAGGGTGATAAGAATTGAGGAAAGAGGCCAGGCATGGTGACTCTTGCCTGTAATCCCAGCGCTTTGGGAGACTGAGGCAGGAGGACCACTGGATACCAGGAGTTCTGGACCAGCCTGGGAAACATAATAAGATCCTGTCTCTACAAGAAATTATCTGAGCATGGTGGTGTGTGACTGAGAGGCTAAGGTGGAAGGATCACTTGGGTTCAGGAGGTCGAGGCTGCAGTGAGCTATGATTGCACCATTGCACTTCAGTTTGGGTGACAGAGTGAGATCCTGTCTCAACAAACAAACAAATAAACAAACAAATAAATAAAAGACAGAGTCTTCAATTTTTAGATAGGGTAGCCAAGTCAGACCTCAGAGAAGGAACTGTTTGAGTAACTCCCTGGAGGCTGTGAGCGAATGAACCATGTGACCATATGAGGGAGTGCATTCAACACACACACACACACACACACACACACACACACACACACACAGATCTAGGGCTAAAACCATAATGTGGGGACGTGTTTGGAAGGTCGAAGAGCAGAGACCAGTGTGACTAGAGCACAGTGAACAAGGGACTGATACGAGGCGAAGGGTAGATGTAATGAGTGCAAATATGTTGGCAGGCCCCTGTATCATCCATCCACACAAGGACTTGGGATTTCACTGTGAGTGAGGTGGGAAGCTACCGCAGGGTGTGAACAGAGAAGTAATGTGATCTGCCCCAGGTTTTTAGTGGATCATTAAGGCCACTCTGTTGAAAAACAATGTAGGGAAGTAAGGGCAGAAATCAGAAGACCAGTTGGAAGACCTAGAGCAGTTTTCCAGGGAGCAATGATGGTTGAATAGCAGATATGAATAGATATTGGGTAGGATTGGATATGATATTAGATATTTAATATGGTTGGATATGATATTGGATATCAGATATTGTTGAATATTGAGTATGATTGGATATGACGTTGGATATTGATATGATTGGATATGATTGCATACTGGTGTGATTGGATATAATGTTAGATATTAGATATGATTGGATATCGGATATGATTGGATATGGTATTGGATATTGGATATGATTGGATATGATGTTGGATATTGGATATGATTGGATATAATTGGATATCAGATTTGACTGGACATGATATTGGGTATTGGATATGATTGGATATCAGATACGATTGTATATGATGTTGGATATTGGATGTGATTGAATATGATATTGAGTATTGGATATGCTTGAATGGTGGAGTCAACAGGGTTTTCCGACGAATTTGATGTGAACTGTAAGAGACTAGTAGTACCTACACATTAGTTATATAGAAAAGCATATCCACTGGGGATAAATGCCTAAAACCTCTTGCTTATAGGGATGCAGTGGAGGCCACTGGAATAGACTAAATATAGTCTATGGGAATTCTGAGGAGAGAGAGACCTCTCAGTGGAGGAGGCCAAGGCTGGACTTGACTGGACCTTGAAGAATAGATGGGATTCAGATGGGTGGAAAGGCCCAGGTAGGTTGTGAGGAGATCAGTAAAGGAAGGAGGCTGGTTCTGCTCCAGGTCTGTTCTTAGTGTCTGCTTGCATGAAGTCTTGAGTACAGGCTTTAGATCTTATGGTCTTCAGATTAGAATGGTAGCAGGAGGGCAGTTTGTCCCACTCCTGAACTCCAGGGAGAGCAGTTTAGATCTTTTTCTTTAGTCAGTGGGGAGTGATTGGGAGTTTTTGACGGGGAGAGTGAGTGATAAAGCTTGCTTCAACAACTTGTTTTTCTTAGGCCTGGTGTGGTGGCTCATACCTATATCCTAGCACTTTGTGAGGCTAAGGTGGGAGGATTGCTTGAGTCCAGGGGTTCAAAATCAATCTGGGCAACATAGTAGGACCTTGTCCCTACAAAAAAATAAAAAATTAGCCAGGCATGATGGCGTGTGCCTATAGTCCCAGCTACTTGGGAGACTGAGATGGAAGGATCGCCTGAGCCCAGGAGATCAAGGCTGTGGTGGGTCGTGGTCGTGCTACTGTACTCCAGCCTAGGCAACAGAGTGTGACCTCAACTCAAAAACCCCAAAAAAACCAGTGCGCTTCTCTTATAGGCTCTGAATGGGTGCCATGGTTAATCAGTTTATGTTAACTCAGTAGCCAGAAAACTTTAACTTCTTTCCAGAGAATGAATTATTTATTAAATAGGACCACATCAAGAGTTATAGCTGTTTGTGAGTGATTCCATGTACAGTGTATATGTCAGTGAGTCCACTGGACTTAAAATTGCTTGCTGGGCCAGGCTTGGTGGCTCAGCCTGTCATCCCAGCACTTTGGGAGGCCAAGGCGAGTGGATTGCCTGAGCCCGTGGGTTCGAGACCCGCCCAGGTAACTTGGCGAGACCTCGTCTCTACAATAAATCAAAAATTAGTCCGGCATGGTAGCGCTAGCCTGTAGTTCCAGCTACAGGCAAGGCTGAGGTGGAAGGATCACTGGAGCCCATCGGGTCGACACTGGGGTGGCCGTGAGTGTGCCGCTGCACTCAAGCCTGGGCGATGGAGTGAGACTCCAACTCATATATAATAAAAACATGTGATTATTTTGGTTCTGGCTATATTGCTGAATTTTAAAAAGCCTTATCTACATTTTATACAGTAGAGTTTTTTTGGTGAATGCTGTTTAATTAATTTCCCATCCACTGGATGATTGTGTGTGTCTTGACACCCACACCCTGCACAATCCTGCTTGGCACACCAAAATGTTGCATTCAGGTGCCCCAGGCATAAACAGTATGGCGGAAATACCCTTTTCCCTCTCTGTGTTTGTAAGACAGTCTCTTTCACGCCAGAAGAACTATTTCGGGAGGATGATTCATGTCACATTTTGGTCTCATTACAGTTTTAAGTTGTAAATGATGCTGGTTTGCCTGGAGGTATAAACATAAATTTTTATGTTTTTATCTTCCTATGCATATGGGAATACCTGCAACTGAAAAAGTACTTTCTATTCTTGAGTTACAGTCTAGGCTATAAACAAAGAGATTAACAAGATCTTTATCGAAATTTTAATTTTATTTATGTAAAGCATGCTTCTTAAAGAGTACCAATTACTTGTGGCTCTGCCTCCATTTATGTATTTCCAAACACAGATGGAGAGTCAAAGAACCTAATGTCTTATTGTTACAAGCAGATGATTCTGTAAAATAAACACTGTGCTTTGTCTTTTGAAACAGTGTGAAAAGTGAGAGCAGGTGTTAAATTACCGTCTTGCTGTCTGTAGTTAAAAGTAACAGGAGGTACGATCTTATTCAAAGTTTATTTAGGTGGGGATGGTAAAGTAGGTGATAATTATTCCAATTTGCTTTCTGGAAAATATAGCACTATTGAAAGGATAGGGTAGAACTTTCTTATTTATTCAGTGGTTAAAAATGCACGATAGCAATAGAAATGAGAGATATTCAACACCTGAGTTTGTTATTATGCCTTACATCAAACTGCCTTCAAAGTGTTCCCAAATAACTGAGTTTGAATAGGATAAAGTTGGGTTTGGAACACAGCTAGATTTTTCTATGACTCTCAAGGAATTCCATATCCTGTCTTAAAGTTTTAAAATTGACAAAATATGATTTATTTTTGCAATGACGGATGTGAAAATAGAAAAATTAAAAAAAAACCCTATAGGAATGCTAATGAATTTGTTGTTGTTGTTTGCTATAAGCTCATTTTGATGGCAAATTTTTTTGGACACAGTGACAACCTTTCTGATCCACTGACAGTGAAATGTACTCCCTCCCCACTACCCTTGGACACATGCTTTAAAAAATTATTTTCTGGTGGGTGCGGTGGCTCAAGTCTATAATTCCAGCACTTTGGGAGGCCGAGGTGAGGGGATTGCTTGAGCCCATGGATTCGAGAACAGCCTGGGCAACTTGGTGAGACCTCATCTCTACAATAAGTCAAAAAGTTAGCCGGGGTTGTGGCAGTGTGTGCCTGAAGTTCCAGCTACTTGGAAGGCTGAGGCTGAAGGATCACCTGAGCCCAGCAGGTCGACGCTGGGGTAGCCGTTAGTGTGCCTCTGCACTCCAGCCTGGACGACGGAATGAGACTCCAACGCAAAAAAAAAAAAAATTATTTTCTGATCCATCTGTAGTTGGTGCTTTCCATTTGAACCTTCTGACCTAAGTCAAAGAGATTTATTTATCTTTAAGTAATAGTTCTCATTAACAATAAACCAAATGCATTGTAAGATCTTATTTGATTCTGAAGTGGTGGTTTGAAAAAATGAGCAATTTGAAGGCATTTACACAGCTTTGCCAATTCAGCTGAATCCAGCCTCCTGGCAAAATCTGGCCTTGAATTCCCGCATCCTGCTAGACTCTTAAAGTTATGACAAGAGACGTCTACTTTTTTCTTATCATGAGACTTTTTTTTTAATTAAAAAAAATTTTTTTTAGCCATGCATGGTGGCACATGCTTGTGGTTCCAGCTACCATACCTGGCTAACTTTTTGATTTTATTGTAGAGAGGAGATCTCGCCATGTTGCCCAGGCTGGTCTCGAACCCCTGGACTCAGGTAATCCACTCTCCTCTGCCTCCCAAAGTGCTGGGATTACAGGCTGAGTCACTGTGCCTGGCTGAGACTTTTTTTTTTTTTAAACTTTCTCTTGGTTATTCGATGACTGTCTCATTAACTAGACTGAGTCTCTACTTCTAGAAATTTGAATTTAGTGGTTCAGGGGTGGGCCCTAAACACTTAAATTAAAAAAAAACAAACAAAAGCTACCCAAAAGCTCATCAGATAGTTCTGATGCTCTAAGAGGACAACAGGTAGCAATTAAATAAAAGACCAGATTTGCAACCCAAACGTCAACATAGACACATCCTGAAGGTCCTTGTTTTTGGTCGTTAATTGGGTTTAGCTGTGACCTGTCCGTGGTATGACAGTGGAATCAGAGAACCCCGAACACTCAACTGAAATGTTGCTGTATTTCACATCTCCCCTTCTGTCTTCTCAGCCATCATGTACGTCATGGGAGCACTCGGTCCTGCAGTGGGATATTTATTAGGTGGACTTCTTATTGGTTTTTATGTTGATCCCAGAAATCCCGTTCACCTTGACCAGAATGACCCTCGTTTCATTGGAAACTGGTAAGAATTGTTTTCTAATTTTTTCATTTTACTTCTTACTGATGATAGAGTCATAGTTAAAATTGTGGTTAAAATTTCCTTAATGGGGAGATGAAAAACAACTGACAGATGCTTGGGGGCATGATAGGCCGAATAATCCCCCTCCTCCAGGAAAGCCGTTTCCTAATCCCCGGAACCTATGAATATGTTACTTTACATGGCAAGAGGGACTTTGCAGATGTGATTAAGCTGTGGATCTTGAGATCATTTTAGATGACTTGAGTGGGCCCAGTGTAATCAAAGGAAAGAGGACAGGAAGGAAGACCAGAATCAGAGAAGGGATATGCTGATTAAACCAGAGGATGGATGATGTGCTTTGAAGGCGGAGAGAGGGACTGTGGGCCGCAGAGAGCAGGTGAACTTTAGGACAAGGAAAAGCAAGGAAATGGTTTCTTCCCTAGAGCCTCCAGAAGGAGTATAGCCCTTTCAGCCCGTTTCCCACTTCTGACCTCCAGAACTGTAAGATAATCAATTTGTGTTGTTTGCAGCCGCTGAGTGTGTGGCAACTTGTTACAGCAGCACTAGGAAACTCATACAGAGGATTTGGGGTTAGTGACTGACTCTGCATTCTCTAGGATAGGGCTGTTTCCTTTATAACAGAGTGAAGGAAAAGGACTGCCTATTATAAAAGTGCCTATGTGGGGACTTTCCTGCTTCCTTTAACTACACCTTTCATTATCTTTTCTGTGCCTTAAAAAAAAAAGTTCTTTCCATGCTATTGTTCTATTAGTGTTTTGGCTTTACAACCCTCTTCCACTTCCTGGAACTCTAGCCCTGCCTCTACATTGTCACACCAGTGAATCTCTTCTCTTGGTAATATTTAGTTTCCCCATGTGTGCTAGAGATTTAGCCACCCTCTCACTCGCTAGGCCTTAACTGTCCTGCAAAATAAGTCATGCTTAGGACTTAGAACGGGAACTCCAACTTTGGATGTTATTTATCCAAATAACCAAGCTGGTGTTTGAGCTTTTGACAGTCCTCACCTTGAACGAGAGTTATTTCTTCAGACTGCAAGCTCTAACTGAAAATATTGATATCCTGAATCTACTTCACGAGAATTAGCCATAGGTATTCATTGATAAGTCATTTTCATTTTACAACAAAGAGAATACTTCAGTATTAGAATTCATATGTGTCAAGTAATTATTTTCTAAAGAATTTCTTAGGGTACTTTGTTTTCTCTGTGTTTCATTATAGGATAATAACCTCATAGCTCTGAGGTTGGTAGAAATAATGTTTAACGTTATCTATTTTCAAAGCAGCAAGCAAATATTGTTATACAATGTAAACAACGCTCTTTGAAGCTGGAAGTGCTAAGCCGGATAGAATTTTCACATCACACAAAAAGGAGTTCCCCTGTTAACATTAGGGGAATAACACAGGAGTTTTAAGTTCTTGACTGATAGTGAAATTTTTGGTCTCAGCTGTGTTCTTTTCGGTTCTGAAATAAATCAGGGTAGAATTTTTTTTTTCATTGTCAGAAAACTAGATTAATTAAATGTATCTATGAACATCCAGTGTATATTCTGTACCCTATAGCGAGGCCCACAAGAAGGGACGGAGGTAGGGGAACATCTGGAGAGAGAGAAAGATGAGGAGGACCAAGTCGGGGCAGGGAGAAGGAGGTGGAGCAAGGGCTTTAGTCTTCCAGGTACTGGATGCTGTTTTGTGAACATTTTCTAGAAGACATTAATCTAGTTGGCAGCAAAATGGATCCGAGCACAGGCCCCTGAAGCTTAAATCCTAGCCTGCTACCTAATACCTATGTGATCTTGGGGAAGTTACTCTGTGCTTCACTTTATTTTTTTTTTTAATTTGTAAAAGAAGGTAGTTATGGTACCTACTTCATAGAGTTGTTGTGAATAATGAACAATTTTATATTTATATGTGTAGAACTCTAAATAGTTCCTGTTATACAGTATGTGTTAGCTATTGAGTCCTTTGAATTTAATCAGTGTTCAAGTAATTTTATCCATTTTAATGGCTCAATAGTAGTTCAATAAATGATAAAGATTGTCAATATAGACATACAGAATAAGGGGCTATTTAAATATGAATTTGATGTTTTTTGAGTCAAGGTCTCACTCTGTCCCCCAAGCTAGAGTGCAGTGGCATAATTATGGTTCATTGCAGGCTCTACCTATTGGGTTCAGGCGATCCTCCTGCCTCAGCCTCTTGGGTAGGTGGGACTACAGCCACACATCACCAAGCCTGCCTAATTTATTTTATTTTATTTTTGTACAGATGAGGTCTTGCTTTGTTGCCCAGGCTGGTCTCGAACTCTTGGGCTCAAACAATCCTCCTGCCTTGGCCTCCCAAAGTGCTGGGATTACAGGTGTGAGCCACCACATTCACCCTGAATTTGAATTTTATCAAGTAACTCTGTTTGTAACAGACTTCTGCCTGTTGAACAAAGACATTGTTATTTGATGCAATGCTATTTTATATGCTGTCTAGCAGTAGTGATAGGTTTTCAGTTAATATATGCATGTACTGAAAGAGAATGAATGAACGAATAATGTTAAAATTTGTTGGGTGCTTACTTTGTGTCAAGCATTGTACTAAGCTTTACAAGCATTCTCATTTAAGCCTGTAACAACCATATGTAGTCACTGATGTTATGCAGGTAAGGAAATTGATGCTTGGGGAGTTGAATAATTTGCCCAGTGCCTCAAAGTCAGTGAGAACTGGGATAAGAAACTGACTCCAAGGCAGAGCTGTTAGTACACTTAACTGACCTGCTTAGTGAATGGTCTTTGAGTGAATGGTTCTTGAAAGGGATTTAGGTACCCTGGCTTTTCAAGTTTAAGTATTATTAATGTATCTTTTCTCAACATATAATGAACACTCTCTTGTCTTACCCAGCTTTTCTCAAGGTCTCTTTAGCATCCTCATTTACTTTTTTTTAAATTTTTTTATTTTTGAGTCGAAGTCTCACTCCATCGCCCAGGCTGGAGTGCAGTGGCACACTCATGGTCACCCCAGTGTCAACCGGCCGGGCTCCGGCCATCCTTTCCCTCAGCCTTCCAAGTAGCTGGAACTACCACACCCAGCTAATTTTTTTTTAAAATATGTTTTAGAGACAAGGTCTCACCATGTTGCCCAGGCTGGTTTTGAACCTGTGGGCTCAGGCAATCCACTCGCCTTGGCCTTCCAAAATGCTGAGATTACAGGCTGAGCCATTGAGTCTGGCCCCTCTCTCTGAACTTTGATGGCAACTCTTAATCTACACCTCATCATCCAACACTTAATTGTATGCATTCTTGCATTTCTTGGAGATGGTTACTTATATTTTTGGCTATCTTACAACTGCGTTATAAGTATTGACGACAAGGACCAAATCTAAATATCTTTGGTAGCCCGCATACTCAGAGTAGTATTGTGAGGCCCAGATAAGTGAGGATTAATACCTTCTTAGTGTTTGCAAAATAATAATAATAATAATTGAATGCCATCAACAATTTAATATATACTTCACATGAGATGTTAGTACTTTTCTTCTAAGAAAAAGTATCTGTATTGACCCACAAAGCATGCTATACAGTCTGTATTATTTTTTCTATTAAATTTATGATTTAGTGATTTATTATAAAATGTACATCTTAGGAGGGTAACAATGTTAGTTAGCAGAGCTAACCTATAGGTGCTCAAAAATATTTGAATGACATGCTAGTCCGGTTGCTGATGATAATATTCAATACCATACTAATACTGGGTAGATTTCTCATTTATATCACAGACTCCCTCTGTATTGTTAGTGTGCCCAACTTCTTACTGATTATAAAACATTTTCTCCGGAGAATTTTATTACCACAGACGTTTACTTTGCTAATGTGTTCTCACTGACAAAACAAAAGCCATAAATGCGATTCACATTTCCTAATTTTTTAGGTGGAGTGGATTCCTCCTTTGTGCCATTGCAATGTTTCTTGTGATATTCCCAATGTTTACTTTTCCAAAAAAGCTCCCACCTCGACACAAGAAAAAGAAAAAGAAAAAGTTTTCTGTTGATATGAGCGATGACGATGTTATGATGGAAAAATCAAACCATAACGAACAAGTGGACAAAAAAGTTTCTTCTATAGGATTTGGAAAGAATGTCAGAGGTAAAGTATAGCTCTTAAGTAAATACGTTCATGCTGTTTAGATCAGTGCTACTCAAAGTGTGGTCCTAGACCAGTGCTGTCCACCAACTGTGTGGCTGGTCTGTGGCTGGCCCGTGGCTGGATAAGTAGAGATTGATAGTAAGTGTTACAAAATTTTTTAGAAGTTTGAGTAATTTTATGACTGCTGCATCGAATGATAATTTAAAAGTTGGACTTATAATTTGTATGTTTTTTAGATGATTAATTTTCTAATTTATTTTGCAGAAGTATCAGTAGATGACAGACTGGAAATGATAATTTTGGAAAATGTTCCTTTTTTGTTTGAGAAGCACTGATTTAGATCGTAAAGACATGGGTGTTCATATCTAGCATTTACTGTAATTAGAGATGTCTGATCGTTAAAATACTTACTGCATTGTTTAATGGATGGTTTGTTTCAGGGGAGCAGTGACTTTGGTAGTGCAGTCTGATGCTTACATAAGTATAAAACCCACCACTAGGAAGGGATCCCACTCAACTGCCGCTCTGTTAAATGCTTGCATGTGGCCATGGAGAAGGGTGGCCCAGGGAGTGGGCTCCAAACCCAGTATGAAAACATCCAGAATGTCTCAATGATGTACTGGCCTATTTTTTCATTTTTAGTTCTCTTAAAAACATCAGTTATATACAAGCTAGATTAGGCAACCTAAAATTTAAATATTTTGAATTGATCTTAACCAGACAATCTTTGTTCAGTATTCAGTACATCCATCAAATGGCAATAAGTCCCTTTAATTCTAGAAACCTATCACGCTACACTCTCATAAGTTTCAGCTTTGTTTCCTGAATTCTCTGAATTGACTTTTTTGGTATAAAATATGAAGCATAATATTAATCCAGTGTTTACCTTCGTTGAAATTGTTTTAGTTAAAATTTACCCAGGTCTATTATCATCTTATTTAGACTTTTTTTAGTGTGGCCAAAGAGAAACTTTTGAGGCCCAGAATAAAGTTCCTTATATCATATAGACCTGTCCCTTCGGCCTAAGAAGAATAGTAGTTCAATTGAACCTTTTCTGGTTTTTTTTTTTTTTTTTTTTAGTTGGGGCCTCACTCTGTTATCTGGACTGGAGTGCAGAAGCAGGATCATGGCTCACCACAGCCTTGATCTCCTGGGCTCAAGGGATCCCCCTACCTCCGCCTCCCAAGTAGCTGGGACTCCAGGCACATGCTACCACACCTGGCTAATTTTTAAATCTTTTTTTAGAGACTAAGTCTCACTATATTGCCCAGGCTGGTCTCGAACTCCTGAACCCCCACTGGCCTCTCAAAGTGTTGTGATTACAGGTGTGAGCCACGGCACTTGGTCAAATTGGACCATTTTTAAAGACTATATTTGTGAAAGCAAGTGAAGTGACACTTCATTGAAAATACTTCTTCCCAGTTAAGTTTTAAATTTGCCTTCCACCCATTATTTTGTGACACTGTGCACTTTTGGAACTGCCAAAATGACTTCTTATGCTCTAATAACATAAAAGGTTCTCTGGATAGCAGCATGACCTGGGCTCTTTCCACGTGGACCAGATCACCATTTTTCATGAATGTATTATAGATCATTATGGTTATTAGCAAAGGGGTGAATTTTTTTTTCAACTCAATTGAGACAAAGTTGGTGTTAAGGAATTTAAAACATAGAAATAGACTTAGAGTCTTAATTTATGGAGAAGATAAAGTAGATTCAAGGAGAGAAATAAAGGCGCAGGTAAGACAAAATTGTATATTTTATAGCTTGGGGGTAGCTGACTTGAATGTGAAATATATATCTAACAGATAGTGGAAAAAAGGGAGGAAGAGATTGAGATAAAATATTAGCAGTTCATACACCTGTTGATGGGAATGAGATTCTTCTGGAGAATGCAAGGTAGAAAATGTGTCAACGCCTCATCCACATTCTTGGCTCACCACAGACTTGCCATTTTCTTTTCTTTTTTTTTTTTTTTTTTGAGTTGGAGTCTCACTCTGCCACCCAGACTGGAGTGCAGTGGCAGCTCCCGGCCACCGCAGCCTCGACCTGCTGGGCTCTGGTGATCCTTCCGCCTCAGCCTTCCAAGTAGCTGGAACTACAGGCGCGTGCTACCATGCCCGTCTAATTTTTTATTTTTTGTAGAGACGAGATCTCGCCAAGTTGCCCGGGTGGATCTCAAACCCGCGGGCTCAGGCAATTCACTCGCCTTGGCCTCCCAAAGTACTGGGATTACAGGCTGAGCCACCGAGCCCAGCCTGACCTTGCCATTTTCATGGTGGAGGTGCACCAACTGCCGGGACTGGCATCATATGCCTGAGGGGTTTCCAGGACAACTGCTTGGCTCCTGCTTTAGGGCAGTCTTCAAGTACAGCACCAAGGAATGAACACCTCTGGCTCTCCATCCTTCAAAGAAGTCTTAACCCAGACGACTGATAAACACCCAGCTCCCTCGCCTCTGGGGTGAGACAATATCTAAGGTGTGTTTCCATATCTGTGGTGGGGCTGCCCTCTTTTCCAGGGCATCTGGGCTACACTCCCTGACCAGCATTCCCTGAGCTGCCCAAATAAGTTGCTTGGACTTGAATCCGTGTCTCAGGGCCTGTTTCTGCCGACCCACACTTAGACATGCAGGCTCCAAAGTGGTAAAAGCCATCACAGAATTTGAAAGTGATTTTTGGAAATGGACTCTCTTCACTGTTTTATTGGCTAACTTCTTGTACTGTCAGGCATGGTTTTTCTCCACTCAGTTTAATGGTTCAGGATATTTTCTTTTAAAATCAAGAATAAAGGGAGTCTTTGAACAGTAGTTGGTTATAAAACTTGTTTCTATTCTGATTTTCTTCTTAGTATTTCTGGTAAATACTCCTTTTTTACCCTAGGGCTTGATTATGGTGACTGATCCCACTTCTGATTGGGACACAGCTGATTCATTGTATTACTTCCACTTGTACTGGATTCTCTAATTCTATCAAGACTAGACTTTAAGAGACACTATCTTGCTAGAGAGAAATACTGTTTTAATTGGATTATACCGAAAATGTCTTGCTAAAAGTGAATCAGATGATATTGTAATAATGTTCAATTAGAATATTTAAAATTAATTCATATTTATCTGGCACACATTGATTTCCTTTAGAGTACTGAATACATATCACCTGAAGGGTGTGACTGTCTAATATTTAATATAGGTTTCAAAAGGAAAAATTAAATCCCTGAGAGTCATTTAGTTATTGATATAATTTGCTTTTTTTTTTTTTTTTACAAAGCTGAGATTCACTATTGAAGTCTTGCATTAAATAATGGCTGCTAAGATTTCATTTTGAGTCACATCCGAGTTTGAGTGCCAGATCTCTTTTTCTCTTTTATTTTCTGGAAGAGTGTTTCTTTTGGTCTTTATTTCATATTTGAAATTTAGATACCGATATTAGCTCCTTCAGAGAGGAGGTGGAAGTTGGTAACTTATGCTTCCTTAAGAATAAAATTATTTTGACTATCCAGGATGGCATTCTTTTGGGAAGTTCTATTGCAAAGAATGGTAGACGAAAATACACTGTACTTTCCATTCTCTGCCTCCACATTTTAATGACAGACATTGAGAATATCTGACTCAGTGTTTCCATATTCTTATTATAAATTATGCAGGAATAAGGCTAATTTAAAACACCACAAAAGGGAAAGTAGAATTCTCAGTATGTCTGCATTACATTCCACAAAGAGATCAGCATTGATTCTATCAAAATCTTACCAATAAAAAGAAACATTTAAAATATTTAAGTGGATCAATTTTCCTGAGGTTTGAGGTCCAGCATTTTAAAGCCTTCCAAATTTAACCAGGCATCTTCCTATCTAGAGAAATTTGAGTGGTAGTTAACCATAAGAAGAATTTTATTTTTGCATCTACTTTTACTCTTAATTGCTTAGCATTATTAATTTAACATAAAATATGACAGGCTTTTCTCTGCTAGAGTTTTGTCAGTGTTAGGGTGCAATATGTTAAAATCTTAACTAAATAAAATAGTTACCCTGAGATGATGAACTGATTTAAAGAGATCATTGAAAGTTACAGAATTTTGACTGGGCATGGTGGTTCATGCCTGTAATCCCAGCACTTTGGGAGGTCAAGGTGGGAGGATTGCTTGAGTACAGGAGTTTGAGACCAGCCTGGACAACATAGTGAGACCCTGTGACTATTTTAAAAAGAAAAAAATACACTTTTTATTTTAAAAAGAAAGTAACCAAATTTTGTTCATAGAAGGATAATGTTGGCATCATTAAATTCATTGAGCATTCACTCTTACAGAGGATGCTGCACTCCACGTTGTAGTTGTGAAGAACTGTGAGCTATGTTTTGCCCTCTGAGAGCTTAGAGTCCACTGAGGGAGACAGAACAAGTACAGGTAGAAAGATGTTAAAGATCATAAAATGAGAACAGACACAGTGGTGTGGTGGTCCAAGGCTGGAGAAGGAACATCCCTTTGAAAGATCATGGAAGGCTACGTGGAGGAGGTGGGATTTGAGATGAACCACGAAAGGCTGGGAGAGTTTCAGCAGGGGGAATTGGGGTGGTGGGAGTACTCCAGGCAAAGAGATCCAAGCCTGAAGGTAACACTGCGTAGATGTATTTGAGAATGTGTATTTGAGAATGCTGGTCAATGGTTTTGTGGCTGGTGTGTTGGGTATATGCAGCGGCGAACTGGGAGATGAGCTTGGGAAGGGGCCGTGGGCTGTATGTTGGAAAGCGAGAGGTCTAGCCTTCCTT